CAGCCTACACAGACTATAGCATATGAGTTTGACAAATGGGTCTTCATACTACAGGGAGTACGGATCCTGAAATGCGGATCTGTAATTTCTACATACATTCCGCTACGTCATATGCTGCCAGTGTATGAACACACTTCATGGCGCTGTCACGCGCAGAATCTGTTCTTGGCAACCTTTACCACCCTTTTCCCTTTTTGATCTGCCAACTTGGCTCGGCCTTTCACTCACGCAGGACCATCACTGCAGCTACGCGATGTCAGCGAGGGAAACTCTGTGCTGGCGCAGCAAAGTCGGTTAGCGCTGCGCCCCACGTGCTACATTCGTGGCAGTGCCTGTCAGAATGTTATAATTGTGTAGCCTGCAGTGGGGCACTCAGTAGTGAGTACATCCCCTTAGGGTTTGCTATTTGTATCCTGCTGCTTGCTAGTTCAACCATCCCTTCTCAATTCTGTTCGTGCACACGTTCCTAGCTTGTACTTGGCGCCTCCTCGTTCTAGTCCTACTGTGGCCTAGGCTACTAAGCCTTGGCCGTACTCCTCCTATATTTGACAGTGCCGTGTTGCAGTGGTTGTAGTGTGTTCTGAGTAATTACAATTTGTAAAAGTGTAACACTTTTTCAAATTTCGTATTGTGGAAGCGAGGACGTGGCCAGCAAAGCAAAGGTAGTGTCAGATTTATATGACATAGCTACTGTATGCTATAGTGGGGTAGCACATATGGGGTACAGTTTTCTAGGGTTTGTACTTGTACCCAACATTCCCTTAGTCATTTCATTCCTCATAATTTTCACATGGTATAGAGCGGGTTCCTTCGTGGGAACGCTTCCTAGGGCCCACCCAATCGAATTTTTTTTTTCCTGCCCGGAGCGCGCTTCGCTCCTCCCCGACTCGCGCCCCGCGTGCCCTCCCTATTGTCGCGCCCTCTCTAGGCCCCTTACGGCCCCTTCGCGTTGCCCTTAGCGGCCCCTCTGACGGCCCTTTCAGCCGCCCTTACGGCCCCCTATGGCCCGTCGCTGCCCTCCGTGGCCCCTCGCGCCGCCCTTCACGGCCCGTCGCTGCCCTTCGCGGCCCCTCGCGCCACCCTTACGGCCCATCGCCGACCTCCGCGGCCCCTCGCGCCACCCTTCACGGCCCGTCGCCGCCCTTCGCGGCCCCTCGCCCCGCCCTTACGGCCCGTCGCCGACCTCCGCGGCCCCTCGTGCCGCCATTCACGGCCCGTCCACCGCCCTTCGCGGCCTATCGCGGCCCGCCGTTGCCGCCTCTGCAGCAGTAGCAGCCGCAGTCGCTACAGCGGTCGCGGCCGCCATCCCCGCGGCAGCAGCACCCACCGCCCCTACAGCAGCACCCGCCGCCCCTACAGCAGCGGCCGCCACTGTCTCTGCAGCAGCGGCCGCCGCCGTCCCTGTTAGAGCGGCCGCCGCCGTCCCTGCAGCAGCGGCCACCGCCGTCCCCTGCAACAGCAGCCACTGTCCCTGCAGCAGCCGAGCCGGCCGAGCCGTCGAGCCGCCCGAGCCACCGAGTCGCCATTGCCGCCGAGTCGCCCGAACCGCCGTTGCCGCCGAGCCGCCCGAGCCGCCGTTGCCGCCGAGCCGCCCGCGCCGCCGTTGCCGCCGAGCCGCCCGAGCCGCCATTGCTGCCGAGTCACTGGTACCGCCGAGCCGCCGAGCCGCCCTGTCCGCTACACCCTGTCACTGCGGTCGCGGCCTCGTTCTTGCTGGCAAGCCTCGGTCCTTCTCGCCTGCCCGGTAAGAGCAGCACCTCTGCCACTGCACTGCCCTTAGCCTGCTGCTCGCGCTGCTAGTCTACTGCTGTCATGGCTACCCCCAGTGTCCTCGCTTTTGACGCTGAGGGTCAGGCCATTGACTTTGACGTCTGGGTAGATGACCTGCAACTTTTCCTACAGTGCGATAGGGCAGACGGTCTCTCCCTCTTTGACCTCACTTCTGGTGCCTCTCCTACCCCTGCTGCTGATGGTGACGCCACTGTTCGCTCATAGTGGGCCACACGCGATGCTGCTGCACGTCTTGCTATGCGTCGCCACTTGCCTACCTTTGAGCGTGCGCACTTTAACCAGTACAAGAGTGCTAAGACCTTGTACGACGCTGTAGTTGCACGCTACTCTTCCCCTGCAACTACTGCACTTAGCCGCCTCATCCTGTCGTACCTCTTCCCTGACCTCGCAGCTTTTCCCACAGTCGCTGACCTCATTACGCACCTTCGCACTAGTGACATTCGCTACCGCGCTGCCCTTCCCGCTGAGTTCTGCGCCAAGAACCCCCCCCCCCCCCCCCCCTGTGTACAACACCCTCTACTACATATTCACCCAGCTCCCTGACACCCTTCGCCCGGTCAGGGACCACTTTCTCTCTGTTTTCCCCACCACCTTCACCGTTGACCTCCTCGAGGAGCGCCTCCTAGCAGCAGAGAAGAGCACAGTCGCTGTAGGAGCCTCTCGTGGTGACCCTCGCGCCCCTGTCTTTGAGGGGTGCTCCGCCTCTCCTCTCTAGCCCTATGTTGCCTCTGCTGCTGCGGCCGACCTTGTTGGTCTTGAGTCGATCGGTGCGGCGTCTACCCCTAGCGGGAGACGCCGCCCTGGCAAGGGCAAGGGGGGCAAGGGCGCCGGAGGAGCTAGCGGGGGCGGTGGAGGCCGCGGTGGAGGCGGCGGAGGGGGTGGGGGTGGCGGTGGGGGTGGTGGCGGGGGTGGAGGTGTTGGGGGCGGCAGTGGAGGCGGCGGCGGCGGTGGTGGTGGGAGCGGAGGTGGCGGAGGTGGCGGCGGTGGAGGAGGCGGCGGCGGAAGAGGTGGAGCTGGTCGGGGTGGCGCTGCGCAGAGGATCGGCTCTGGTGGTGGTCAGCGCCAGCAGCAGCAGCAGCTTCGTAAGCTCCCCCCCCCCCCCCTCAACAGCTTCGTGAGTGGTACGCTGCACGCCAGCGGGGTGGGGGTACTGGTCCGTGCACCTACGTCCTACGCACCGGCGACCGCGCGGGTGAGCACTGCGGGGGTGCGCACTCCACCCAGCGCTGCTTTGGCCGCCTGACGGACGCTTGGCGTCACCAGTTCCCTGAGGCCACTGAGATCCCTTGCTGGGGCGAGCTGTCTAGGGCGGGAGTAGCTATCTTTGACCTTGACTTTGATGCTATTCTTGCTGCCATGCATGCTGTGACTATTAGTGATGACGGTGACTGTTACCGGTGTTTTCGGCCCGACCCGGGCATTGGGACTGCTGCTCTAGGTACTGGTGAGGCTGCTGCTCTAGGTGCTAGCGAGACTGCTGCTCTAGGTGCTAGTGCATCTGCTTCCTTAGGTGCTGGTGAGTCTGCTCTCACAGGTACTGCGTCGGCTTCGGCCTCCCACACCTTCACCCTTGACTCGGGGGCTTCTCGCTCCTTCTTTCGAGACTGCACCACCCTCACGCCGCTTGATCGGCCAGTTGCAGTCTCTCTGGCAGACCCCTCTGGGGGTCCTGTCCTTGCTCACTTCAATTACGACCTGGTTCGAAGGGGAGCTGCAGCGGGATCTCACACTCACCGTCTCCTCCACCGTAACACATTACCTCAGGCTCAACATACAGAAAGGAGAAAACGCGATCCACCACAGCGCTGCAAAATATGCCGACACCATTGCGAAATGCTTCGGATTAACTCCGACCACAATCTCCACACCATATCGCTACACCGACGGAAACCGCAAGGAAGTCTCCGCTCCACTCAAATCCGCCGCCATACGCGACTACCAACAAAAGCTGGGATGTTTTCTCTTTGCAGCCGTCACCTGTCAACCAGACCTATCATACTCAGCAAGCCAACTTGCCACCTACCTCAAGAAACCTGAAGCAGAACACATGGCGGAGCTCGACCGCGCACTTCACTATATCGTCAACACCACGACGATCGGCCTGACCTACCACAAAACCGGAAACACAACGCCTAAGCTAATCGGCTACGTGGATGCTGACCACGCCGGCGACTCTGACAACAGGCGCTCGCGTACCGGCTACATCTACCGACTCGAGCCTATCGGGCCTATCTCGTGGCAGTCGAGCCAGCAGGAACTAATCGCTCTCTCCTCAACTGAAGCAGAATATATCGCACTCTGCTCAGCCACCAAGGAAGGATTGTATCTTCGCGAACTACTGGAAAAAGCAAAGTTGGCCAAGTTACCCAGCTTCTCTCTGTTCTGCGACAACCAATCTGCAATTTGCATAGCAAACAAGAACGGGTTGGCGAACAGAACGAAGCACATCACCCTGCGAGGTTTCTTCGTGGAAAAGACGAGATAGAGAAGGGGAGACTCGAGCTATCCTACTGCCCCACGTCAGAGATGGCAGCTGATTACTTGACCAAGAAGCTCGGAAAGCATAAGTTTGAGTACTACATGCTGCTTACTGGACAAAGCCACGTCACCAGCAGCGACACTCCAGAAGCGAAGGGGATTATTGGAAACAAGAAACTTAATGCTTCTAATGTGTCGAAACATCGAACGAACTTTAAACGAAGCAAATAACAACGAAGCAACGGCGAGTCAACCGAGGAGGTCAACAAAATGAAACTGCTGGAGGTTACGCGAAGGTCAAAGGTCAGTGACCTTTGACTTGACAAATACAGCGCGACAGCAGGGACAAACAACTGACTCGGTATTGAGCAGTTGCCCGAGTCGTCACTGTATCGAACCGCAGCGGCAACAGTAAATCTTATAAAAACTTGTATTACTTCTCTATAATAAATCTATCTTGCCCTCACACACCAGTGCAAGGTGGTTCAACAGTCTATCATTGAACGCTTCCGCAATTTAACGTTCGTGACAAAGTTTTAGCCTTGAAAGATCCTAAGGGCTTTTCTCAGCCCAACATCTGTGAGATGGTGCAACTCCCAATCCGGGCCTTTTTAGCATTTGGCGTGCAAATCGTAACTCCAGGCTTTAACTTATTCACGCATTCACACCGATTCATTCGCCTGTAGCAGCCCTTGATACTGTAGAAGTACTTGACATTGATGTACTTGCAGTCATCCTCCGGTGAGATGGTGTATGTGCTGGTCCTGGAACAAATGCCCGCTGTGAAGTTGGTCACGCTACCAATGCATACCTGCAGGCACAGTGGAGTTGGTGCGTGGAGGGGAGTACACAGTGCATGGAAGCGGAGTAGCAGGTAGGGAGCTAGGGAAAGGCACAAAAGCACGGAGTGCATGAAACACCATTTGAAGCACTGCTAGCACAATTCTAAACGCAAATCAGCTCAATGTGACTTGGGTCTGGACTGCTATCTACATCTCACCCACATTCCATGCTTGCTTCATTAATGACTCGCTTCTGGTTGATCTACATGCCAGAAGTGTGAGTTTTTCATTATACTTGGTAAGAGTTCCACCCCGTTCACTTGGAATAGGCTAGAGCTTGATCTGGTGTTTATTATGGTCCCATATTCTCCAGTCGGGCTCTAACACTTCTTAAGTGTCACTATTTCTTAGGCCACCATCTCACTGTTCCAAATCTGCGCGCAACCATTTGCCACCAGTGCGTCGTCCCTGGCTGATTCTGCGCAACCACCATGCCAACCATGCAGCAATTGTGCTGCCCTTGCCTTGCCATCTCTGAGCCACCTGCTCTCCCCACCGCGCCGCCTGGATAGTGTTCTTATCTCTCCAAACCAGCTCACCAATCTTTCCCTCCTCACTCACCCCCATTCTCTGCAGCAGCTGGACACTGGTTGCCATTCCCCCCTTGGCTGCTCAGCAGCTGATTCAATCTACTCGCAGCTTCTCAGCAGCAATTTCTTTCTCACAGTCTCTTCCTTTGTTCCCCCTTCGCTTCCTTGCTGATTCCTCTACTTGCGCTCAGTGGCAGAAAATTGTCTCAGATGATGGAACTGCCTCAACAGTCTAGCACTCTTGTTAGTGGCTACAGACTCGGCAGATCAAGTCCTTTCTGTCTGGTCGTCCCTTTTCCCTCTTCCTACAATGTCGTGTACGTTGCACCCCATCATACTGCGTGCACCACACTGCATGCAGCACAGTGACTGACCTCAGCACCGAAGGTGGTGGCGGAGTGGGAGTGGTTCTTGAGGGGGATGAGCAGGTTGCAGTTGACGCCGGGGTTGAGGCGGTAGAAGTCCACGGGGCTGAGAGGAGGCTCCGCCAGCTGCCTGATGCTGTCGCACGTGTCGTTGAGGCGCGCCCAGTAGTACTGGTCGCACACCACCGTCACATTCGCCACCCCGGGGTCCCTCTCGAAGCACACGGCCTGGGAGGGCTTCAGGAAGGAGCAGTCCACAGCGGGGTTGAGCGCCTGAAATGCCGTCTCACTCTCCGCATCCGACGCCGCCGCCCCACACAGCTCCACTTGCCGCCCCACTCCCATACACGTGTTGCCCTAGAGGCACATGGCAAGGTAGAAGGACATCACATACTCCTGGGCCTCATGGCGTCTCCTCGCATCCTCCAGCCGTCCCTCCAAGGTGTCCATCACCTCGGCGTCGCCTACGCGCACGCTAGTGATTGCACGGCTGCCGGTCTACGAACACGATCGGTATGTGCTAAGTCGGCTAGACTGAACGACGTCGCGGTGTCGTCCACGCTCACCGCACCATGCGGAGATAACTACAACAACGGGAGATAGGCTACGGGCTAGGCACGTGTGCTCGTGTGATCTCTGCGTTCTCTGTTCCTTAGGCGTTTTCCTTGTGCGCACACTACTTGCTAGTTCACGGGGAAAATTGGCAAGAGTTTCACTAGGAAAAGTTCAGAACAATTGGTACAATGAAGTTGGCATAGCAAGACTACATCAGAGCAAGCATTCAGGTCGGCCAACTGCCAGCGCAGCTTGGTCGACCGCGTTCCAGCACGACTTGGTTGGCCGCACTCCAGCAAGGCAAGGTCGATGGCGTGCCAACGTTGCAGGACAGCAGTGCACCCGCTTCACAGGTGCGCGCAAATGATTGGCGTGCAGAGTCCTGTCACCTCTGATCCGCCACGACGACCTCGGGATACCACTACCGAGATCGGTCTCGCCAACTTTGCCTGGGAGACCGTCGCACTCCCAGGTAACCTAGTCGACCGGGCAACCATGTCGACCAGCAGCTCCCGTACGTGCCCGTCGACCTCCCAAGTCGACGACCACCTCCACGTCGACCCCCTCCAGGTCGATGTCCCCTCTGGTCGACCAACTCCACGTCGACCAGTACTCCTGGTCGACCTGCGCCTCGTCGACCAGCATAGTCGTCGGCCGACCACCCACGTCGACCACCCGAAGTCGACGTCACCAAGTTGACGTCCTCCGCAAGTCGACTCCCAAGTCGACCTCCCTGAAGTCGGCGCCACCCTAAAGTCGGCGCCCGTGCAGTGGTCCCCCGTGCAGGTCGACCTCCTCGTCGACCAGCTCACCCACTGCTGCAGGTCGGCTGCTCCCCTCACACCCGACCACGAAGTCGGCTCCGCCCAAGCGAGGACGGGGCCAATACCCAACTCCCGTTGACACTCCCCTGCCGCGTTCACGCTTGGGCACCCAGCCCACACGGCAGTACAGCTCGGAGACTAGCTCGTCGACGTGCACCCAACACATAGCACGTCGTCCACCGCACCAGCCATGCAAAAGGGCATGGCACCTACTGCTGCACGTCGTTGTCGTTGTCGCCCACGTCGGCCAAGCGCACTTGGCCGATTGCGACGGAACACCGGTTGAAGGCCGGATAGTGCAGCGCCTTCGTCAGGAAGTCGGCCGGCTGCTCAGCGGTCGGGATGTACTGCAGCGAGAACTTCCCGCGCCTCACCATGTGCTGCAGCCAGGCCTGTCGCCGTTCCATGTGCTTGAGGTTGCCCGTCATCCCCATGCCCTCGGCGACCGTGATGGCCGACTTGTTGTCCACGCGCAGGACAGTCGGCTTCCCGGCATCCAGCTGCCGGAACTCTGCGAGGAGGAAGCGAAGGCGGCGTCCCTCCTTGCCAGCTTCAGTGGCCGCCACGTAATCCGACTCGGTCGACGACAGTGTCACGCACTTGATGCGCTGGCTCGACCAGGAGACTGCAGCCCCTCTATAGACGAACACGTAGCCGCTCGTGCTCGTCCGGTTCTGCTTGTCACCGGCGTCGTCGGCGTCCACGTAGCCGACCAGCTCCAGCGACTCAGGTCCACCGCCGAACTGCAGGGCGGTGTCACGTGTGTTGGCAAGGTAGGCGAGGCAGCGGTCGACCTCGCGCCAGTGCTGGTCGCTCCTCACCGTGAGGCCGCTCCCCAGCTTGCTGCTGGCGAAGGCGACGTCCGGTCTCGTCGTCGTCGCCGCGAACTGCAGCGAGCCAACCTTCTGCCGGTACTCCTCCTCCTGCCGTTAATGCGCCTCCTCGTCATCGAAGGTAAGCTCGGCGTAGGCACCGACCGAGACCGGTGTCTTCGAGGTGCGCCCGGTCTGCTCCTCGTCGAGGAAGCGCCTACGCAGCTTGTCGGCGTAGCCCTGCTGATGCAGCCACAGCTTCCCAGCCGACCTGTCGCGCACGATCTCTAGCCCGAGGTACTTCTGCACCGGCGAGATCTCACGCAGCTCGAAGGCGGCTTCCAGCAGTTCCTTCAGCTCCTTCAGCATCGCGGCGCTGCTGCTGGCGGCAAGCAGGTCGTCGATGTAGACCAGTACCCAGCAGGCCACTCCACCCTCGCCGACCTTGTAGTAAAGAGCCTCGTCGACCTGGCTCTTCTTCCACTCGGTGCCGACCAGCTCATCGTTGAGCGCCAAGTACCACAACAGCGGCGACTGCTTCAGCCCGTACAGGCTCTTCAGCAGCTTACACACCCGGCCGGTTCCGCCGTTGAAGTAGTCTAGCTAAGACATGTACAGCACCCGATCGAGCTTGCTCTGCAGGAAGGCGTTCTTCATGTCGAGCTGCATCAGGTTGAGGTTGAGGACAGCGACGATGCTGAGGAAGATCCTCAGCGTGACGTAGCTGCTCACCGGCGCGAACGTCTCGTCGTAGTCGGCGCCGTACTTCTGTGTGAAGCCCTTCACGACCAGCCTCGCCTTCTCTCGCTCGACGGTGTCGTCGATGTGGTACTTTGTCGTCAACACCCACCGGTTCTTCATGACGTTCACCCCCGGCCGGCGTTCGACCAGCTCCCAGGTGCCCATGTTGATGAGGCTGCGGATCTCCACCTCCATGGCGGCCTTCTCCGCCAGCTCGCCAACGCCTCCTTTACCGTCATCGTCGAGATGTCCCATCGGTGCTCGGGGTCAGCTAGCATGTCGAGGTCGAGCTCCGGAAACTCCTCATCCTCCTCGGCGTCGTCGTACAGCAGGTCGTCGCCATCATCCACGTCATACACCATGGTGAAGGCAGTGGGGACGAAGAAGTCAGGCGGCCTCCGAAGTCGGCCTGAACGCCGTGGTCCTTGCTGGACCTCCGCGGCGTCCCCTCCATCGTCGCTGTCGTTGCTGCCCTCGGCGTCCTGCTGCTCCTCAGCCGGCGTCCCAGCCGACTGCTCCACTGTGGTCGGCTTCCCAGCCAAATTCTCCCCTGTGGTCGGCTCCCCTGCCGACGTCTCCTCTGTGGTCGGCTCCCCTGCCGACGTCCGGGTCGCCAACTGCTCCATGGTCGGCTTCACGGCAGCCTGCTCCCTTTTCGGCTGCTGCTCCTCGACCTGCTCCTCCCCTGTTGACTGCAATCCCTCGTCGATTCGCCGCTCTTCACGTCGGCCACCGGCAATGCACTTGGCTGGCGCCGAAGGCGGCGTCCCACTACTCCCCTCATCGCCGGAGGCCGACACCGAGATCAGCCCACGCAGGTCGGCCACGAGGGGAGGGGCAGGAGACAGAGGGAGAGGGGTAGGGGGGCGGACGTCCTTGACGTCCTCAGTAGCAAGCTCACCGATCTCGGCAAGCAGCGGCAGCGTCGCCGACAAGGTGTCAGAGGGCGGGGTGGACGATGAACGGCCGGGCACCGGCCCATGCTCGGTCTTCCACTCGGCCAGCGACATCTCCTCGTAGAACACCACGTCCGACGTGGTGACCACTCGGTCGGTGTCGACATCGAGGAGCTCCCAGCCCTTGCTCGCCGCCGACACGCCAAGGTGCAGGCCCCACCTGGCCTTCGGCTTCAGCTTCCCACCACGCTGCTGCTCAGGAACAAGGAACTGCGCCATGCAGCCCCACACTCGCGCCAGCGACAAGTCGGGCTTTTTCCCTGTCAGCAGCTGGTACGGCGTCGTCCCCGGTGGCAGCGTCGACCTTTCAAGGCAGTTACGGACCCAGACGGCCTGCCGCAGAGCGAGATGCCACCAGTGGTGCTACACGCCCATGTGCAGCAGCATTGTCCGCACCGATTCCACCACCGTCCTCATCTCCCGCTCCGCCATGCCGTTCTGCTGCGGGGTGTATGGGCAGGTCAGGTCGTGGACGATCCCCTTGCCGTTCACGAAGTCGGTGAACTGCTTCCCGAGGAACTCTCCTCCCCGGTCAGAGCGCAGCATCAGCACCGACTTCTTCGTCTGCCGCTCAGCCACCGCCAGCCACAGTACGAACGCCTGCAACGCATCAGACTTCCTGGCGACCGGCTTCACCCACACGTAGCGGGTCTTGCGGTCCTTCAGCAGCAAGAAGTACAGGCTGCCATCCTTAGCAGCCACGCGAAACGGCCCGCACAGGTCGATGTGCATGACGGCCAGTACGTCGTCGGCGTCGGAGCCTTGGTCGGGGAAGGTGTGCCGCGTCAGTTTCCCGCCGACGCACGAGACACACGGGGAGTTGGCGTCCGTCGCCGACTTGAGGTCCAGCCCAATGGCGACCTCGTTCTTCGCCAAGCTCCGTATGGTGTCCATGCCGACGTGCGCAAGCCTCGCATACATCCGGTCTGGCGTCGACTTCGTCTTCGAGATGATCGCCCGCAGAGCCACCATCTCCGTCGTGGGCGCCGTCGACCTCGTCGCGCAGGGACGCAGGTCGGTGCAGAGGACTCATTCAGAGTACGTCGCCCACCCGAGAACCTCCCCCGCTGCCGAGACGAGCAGCATGCCGTCTCCGTCCTCCTGCACGCCATGCTCCTTTAGCTGGCCGGCCGACAGCAGGTTGGCTCGCACACCCGGGACGTACAGCACATCGGGGATGAGCACCTGCTTCCCGACCTCTCCTTGCAGGGCAATGGTACCACAGCCCTGAACATCCTGCAGCACCCCATTGAAGCCGCGCACATGCCTGATGGCGCCACTCGGCTGCAGGTCGACGAAGACCTCCTTCGTCCCCATCAGGTGGTGGGAGCAACCACTGTCGAGCAGGACCACTGCAAGGTTCGCCTGCACAGCTGCCGCCACCGCCTGGAAGTCCTCTCCAGCCTCCGGTGCCAGAGAGATGGTCGGCTCCACGACGCCGACCAGCGAGCACGACGCCGTCTTGTCGTCTCGCCCCTTTCTGCCAGCAGAGGAGTCGGCATCCTTCGCCGGAGGCGATGTCTTGGTCGACTGCTTCTCCTTGCGCGGCTGGTTTCCTCCACGACGAGGACGACGGCTGCCAGACCTCCCACGGCCTCCCTTAGCATCGTCGTCGTCGGAGTCGCTGCGGTCGAGACACTCGAAAGAGAGGTGGTCGGGATCGCCGCACAGCCAGCACTCCCGACGTCGACCTCCTCCTCCACGACCGTTGTCCTTGGTCGACTTCCTCTTGTCGACCTCCTTTGCTGGCTTCCAGCCACTGCTACCACCGCCGCCACACTGCCCGCGCTGTCCCGGTCGGCCTCCTTGCTTCGCTGAGGTGACCGAGTTTGCCTGCGCCAAGAGCTCCTGCGAGCGCTCAGCCTCCTGCATCGCCTCGTCCTGCAGGATATACGAGGTCAGGTTGTCTTCGTTGAGCGTCGCCCTTGTGCTCGGCGCCATAGACAGCCGCTTCAGCAGGTTGTAGCTGCTAGACAGTCCCTGCATGACATGGGTGATGTACGACGCCGTGGAGTACTGCGCGCTGGCCATCCTTATGGTGGCGAGAATTCGCCTGGCTTGGTTGCAGTAGTCGGTCGCACTCTCCTCGTCACCCATACGCAGGTGCGTCAGCTGTCCCTCCAGCTGGGCGATGAACAGGTCGTCGGTGACCTGGTACGTCGACTCAATGAAGTGCCACGCCCGGTGGCCGGCGTCGATGTACTCCCGGCACCACTTCAAGGCGATCTGCACACCCGGCGAGCAGCACCGCGAGATGACCGTGAAGGTCAACAGCTGCACGGCGCGAAACTCCGCACGCAAGTCGGGGTGGTGCTCCCCCGGCGTCGCCACGGTCCCTCGGGCGAAGCCGATCAGCCCGCCCATCTCCAGCTAGGGCTCGATGGCTTCCTTCCAGGTGAGAATGTCGGGTCGTCCGACCAGCGGAGGGGTGACCGAGATCCTGTCCGGCGTAAACTTGAAGTAGCCGTAGCTCGGCGCAATCCCGCCTGCCGTCACCTGGGTCGCCGACATCGGCGACAATCCACTTCGACGCCCAACGGCGTCACCATGTGAGGAGCCTGCAGCCGCCGACGACTGCATCCCTTGCGCCTGAACGCCGCCGGCTTCACCGGCGTGTATCACACCTCGGTGCCTCGATGTGCCTCCCATACTGTTGCCGACCTGACCTCCACCGGCGTTGACACCCACGTCGACGCCGCCGTCGTTGTTCACCGGTCGAGGAGAGGCAGGTCGAGAAGGGGGGTGCTCCGATGCCCACACGGAGCGGAGTCCGGCTTCGACGACTGCCCAGGGTATCGCCCCATACTCCTGGGCCTCATGGCGTCTCCTCGCATCCTCTAGCCGTCCCTCCAAGGTGTCCATCACCTCGGCGTCGCCTACGCGCACGCTAGTGATTGCACGGCTGCCGGTCTACGAACACGATCGGTATGTGCTAAGTCGGCTAGACTGAACGACGTCGCGGTGTCGTCCACGCTCACCGCACCATGCGGAGATAACTACAGCAACGGGAGATAGGCTACGGGCTAGGCACGTGTGCTCGTGTGATCTCTGCGTTCTCTGTTCCTTAGGCGTTTTCCTTGTGCGCACACTACTTGCTAGTTCACGGGGAAAATTGGCAAGAGTTTCACTAGGAAAAGTTCAGAACAATTGGTACAATGAAGTTGGCATAGCAAGACTACATCAGAGCAAGCATTCAGGTCGGCCAACTGCCAGCGCAGCTTGGTCGACCGCGTTCCAGCACGACTTGGTTGGCCGCACTCCAGCAAGGCAAGGTCGATGGCGTGCCAACGTTGCAGGACAGCAGTGCACCCGCTTCACAGGTGCGCGCAGATGATTGGCGTGCAAATTCCTGACACCTCTGATCCGCCACGACGACCTCGGGATACCACTACCGAGATCAGTCTCGCCAACTTCGCCTGGGAGACCGTCGCACTCCCAGGTAACCTAGTCGACCGGGCAACCATGTCGGCCAGCAGCTTCCGTACGTGCCCGTCGACCTCCCAATTCGACGACCACCTCCACGTCGACCCCCTCCAGGTCGATGTCCCCTCTGGTCGACCAACTCCACGTCGACCAGTACTCCTGGTCGACCTGCTCCTCGTCGACCAGCATAGTCGTCGGCCGACCACCCACGTCGACCACCCGAAGTCGACGTCACCAAGTTGACGTCCTCCGCAGGTCGACTCCCAAGTCGACCTCCCTGAAGTCGGCGCCACCCTAAAGTCGGCGCCCGTGCAGTGGTCCCCCATGCAGGTCGACCTCCTCGTCGACCAGCTCACCCACTGCTGCAGGTCGGCTGCTCCCCTCACACCCCACCACGAAGTCGGCTCCGCCCAAGCGAGGACGGGGCCAATACCCAACTCCCGTTGACAGATGTTAGTGCAACAGCACCCAACATGCAGTGGTAGGCAAAAGGTGACTTGTAGTTACCGCTATCCTGGGAGGAGGGTGCCATACCACATCGTAGTCTTGGAAGGAGGATACCTTATGTTGCAATATGATACCTCGGGGTCCTCTACCACATCCAAAGGCTAGATTTTGAGGTGCACTTGTTCATTCTATTGAGGTGTTGTTGGACGCAAGCTTGACCAACCACAATTGTGGTTGCTCACGATTGCGTGTGGCCCTTGGACCTGGATTGGCACTGCCAGCGCCAACCCTTGGTCCTTAGCTCCACGGATCCCAACCAACCCACAATTGTGGTTGCTTGGTCTACAAGCAACCTCACCAATCGGCTAAATTGGTGGCCAATAGGGTAAGCTTCCTATTTTCACCCGTCTCTTGGCTCAACTCAATACAATGTTTTTTAATCCTTTTTAACACCTACCCCGTCAAAGAATTGAAAAAAGGGTGCCTTACCCCGTCGAAGCCTTGAAAGGAGGGTGCCTTACCTCATCGTAGTCTTGGAAGGAGGGTACCTTACCCCATCATAGTCTTGGAAGGAGGGTGCCTTACCCCATCGTAGTCTTGGAAGGAGGGTGCCTTACCCCATCGTAGTCTTGGAAGGAGGGTGCCTTACCCCATCGTAGTCTTGGAAGGAGGGTGCCTTACCCCGTCGAAGCCTTCCAAGGAGGGTGCCTTACCCCATCGTAGTCTTAGAAGGAGGGTGCCTTACCCCATCGTAGTCTTGGAAGGAGGGTGCGGACGCCTCGATGTGCACTATGACAGGCTGCCGCTGCACTGCCAGCATAAGCCCAAACCACCCGTAGAACCCCGCGCACTCGATGTCGCGGATGCCATAGTACTTGGTGCTCGCCTGTAGGCAGGGTGGTGGAATACTGAGAGATGGCTTACAAAACATCGTATGGATGCCATAGTACTTGCTGCACCCTGCACGCAGGGAGGGGCACCAATGTAGGAGCAAGAGGTGGACGACAGAATCAGGGTCATCACGTGAATAGCACTGTGAAAAAAGCACAGTGTGCTGAAACACTAATAGCCCAGGCACACCAGCAGCAGCTCACTAACCAGCGATCTGCCCTTGAGCGATAGGTGGGCGACACTAGGAGGCCATCAAAAGGTGGCAAAAGCACAGTGAACTGTAGCAGTCCAGACCAACCAGCAGCCGCTCACTAACCAGCGATCTCCCCTTGAGAGGGGGGCCTTGCGAGTACACTGCGTCCTCCAGCAGCCCCTTGCCCTGGGCAGTGGCGTTGAGGAGGAACTGCAGCGCCTTGGTGGGCGAGCCACCGTCGCAGTTGGAGGAGAGGGCGAGGCGCAGATGCTCCACCGACAGTACGGGGGGCTGCGCCCAGTTGCTCGCGATCCTGTGGGCTGCCTCCACCGCTGCCACCACTGCGTATGCCCAGCAGTCACCTGTATTGCATGAGCGGGGCCACAAGGGATCACATCCATACACTCTCATACTGTAATACGAATGGTGAATTGTGGCAGGTTGTTCTCAAGATAGCTTGTAAGAAAATGCTCTCATGACATGCACAAAGGCTTTGTGTCACATGCCCTGTGCTGCTCTCTTCCACCCGCTCGCTAACTTCGCTGGGACGTCAAGAAATGTGCATGGAAAGGGCAAGGTGCATAATGGTAAGTACGACCTTTAATCTCACTCAATGCGTGGCTATTTGTGGCTTCTTTTGCGCATTCTGTTCTCTCATCTCAAAAACCCCCTCATCCCAAATTTCAGCCCCAAGCCAAACCTTGCACCTATCCTGCTGTTTATCCCATGTGGCTATACGACTCACCACAGCCCCGTTGGTTCTTGACAGGCCAGGTGGATTCAGGCAAGACCCAGGCGCTGTAGGACTTGAAAGTCCACGCGGGGCTGTTGTCCTGCGCGGGGTCAAAGCCCGCACAGGCGTAGTGGAAGGCAGCATTGAAGCCCCGCGATGAGGAGTCCTCATCCAACACGAACCCCAATGCTAGGTCTGGTGGGCGGAGGAAGGGGTGTTGGGCGTTGGGATGAGAACGCAGTGTTACAAAAACAGTGTTGAGAGCCAAGAGGAGAAATCAGTGAAAGGAATGCAGTCACATATGGTGACAAAGAATAAAAGGCAAGCGTACTCACTTGAAGGGTCAAAGCGCGGGTTAAGCGGAACATCTGCAACCACAACGGCAACCACATGGATGGAGTGGCACGCGGCAAACAGTAATAGAAGGCATTAATGTGAAGCCATAACTCGGTTGCATACAAGCAACACGAGGAGCAGGAAAGCTTTCAGCCTGACCAGAAAGTGTACACTCAATTCAACACCACAAATTGGAAGGTAAATCAAACATAGTTGGATTGGAAGCACCCCTGACTATGGAAAACAGATTCGCGAACATGGAAATTTCAATCGGGTAGGCACAACGTGGAAATAGTTATTTTAAGCTAAGATGGGAGTTTCAAAGCTCAGTGGCTCAATCCGCACGATTTTCTCTTGACTTATTGATACCAAATACAGAGAAAACGGTACTAAACATCTTCCAATACATTCTAAGATGGTACATAATCATGAACCACCAATACGAGATTGAAAGCGTCCTCTGTTTAGCAAAAAGTATACTGACACGACATGTCATAAGCAAGCAGCCATAAAACAAACGGGTGGGTGCTTAGGCACGCGCACATCCCCAACTGTGGGTTCGGTTCAAGGCAAACCCAGTTGAAAGGAAAACCCCTCTAGGTTGGGCAACCAAGCTTTGACAAGAAAATGCATTTCTGGAACGTTGGAACTCACTTCACTTCTTTGTTCAAACTCATCAATCAAATCGACTTGGTCGAGTCTTTATCGAAAAAGAAAGAAAGAAGTTCCACTACTGAAGTTGAGCCCCTAGCTGTTGTTGCTAGTTAATGGCGTCATGGGTAGAGTCCAAGTTCCAGCTGATTTGGTTTGACAGTGACCACAAGTTGACCTGGTTTGACCTGAAGCACTTTGCCTTTTGGCTTTGCTAAGGCTTACCTGAGTGGCACACACCTGCAGTGAAGGTCCAGCTGAGGACGGAGTGTGCTTGTGGGGCAGCGGTAGACGACGCTGTGAAGCCGACGTAGAATGCAGCAGCTGACGCCTTGGGCTGCAGGATGGAGTAGAGCGACACTCGAGCTCGAAGCACAAGTGTGGGAGGCTGGTCGGGGTCGGAGGAGAGGAAGACTCGGAGGGTGCCGCCGTGGACACTTTTCAAACCTTTGCTTAATATCATTTTCTGCCATCTGGTGTGAGATCGACTCAACCTGGATCAACCAGCTTGCATCTACATAACATTTGCTTGGGCATACAGCCGTTTACTATGCGGAGATAACTGCTACAACGGGAGCTAGTCTACGGGCTAGGCACGGGTGCTCGTGAGATCTCTGCATTCATTAGTCCTTAGTCGTTTTCCTTGTGCACACACTACTTGCTAGTTCACGGGGAAAAATGGCAAGAGTTCCACTAGGAAAAGTTCATAACAATGGTACAATGAAGTTGGCATGGCAAGACTAACATCAGAGCAAGCATTCAGGTCGACCAACTGCCAGCGCAGCTTGGTCGACCGCGTTCCAGCACGGCTTGGTCGACCGCGCTCCAGAAAGGCAAGGTCGACGGCGTGCCAACGTCGCAGGTTGACGGCGTGCCAGCGTTGCTTGCACAGAACAGCAGTGCACCCGCTTCGCAGATGTGCGCACATGATTGGCGTGCAGAGTCTCGTCACCTGCACAGCGCACATACCACGTCAACCTCGTGCTGACGACTGCTTCTGATCGGCCACGTCGACCTCGGGATACCACCACCGAGGTCGGGTTCGCCAACTTCGCCTGGGCGACCGTCGCACTCCTCAGCAGCATTTCGTCACCCAGGTAACCTGGTCAACCGGGCAACCACGTCGACCAGCAGGTCCCGTACGTGCCCGTCGACCTCCCAAGTCGACGACCACCTCCATCGGTCGACCGCCTCCAGGTCGACGTCCCTTCTTGTCGCCGTCGCCCACGTCGGCCAAGCGCACCTGGCCGATTGCGACGGAGCACCGGTTGAAGGCCGGATAGTGCAGCGCCTTCGTCAGGAAGTCGGCCGGCTGCTCAGCGGTTGGGATGTACTGCAGCGAGAACTTCACGTGCTTCACCATGTGCTGCAGCCAGGCCTGTCGCCGCTCCATGTGCTTGAGGTTGCCCGTCAACCCCATGCCCTCGGCGACCGTGATGGCCGACTTGTTGTCCACGCGCAGGACAGTCGGCTTCTTGGCGTCCAGCTACCGGAACTCGGTGAGGAGGAAGCAAAGGCGGCGTCCCTCCTTGCCAGCTTCAGTGGCCGCCACGTACTCCGACTCGGTCGACAACAACGTCGCGCACTTGATGCGCTGGCTCGACCAGGAGACTGCAGCCCCTCCGTAGACGAACACGTAGCCGCCCGTGCTCGTCCTGTTCTGCTTGTCACCAGCGTCGTCGGCGTCCACGTAGCCGACCAGCTCCAGCGACTCAGGTTCATCGCCGAACTGCAGGGCGGTGTCACGTGTGTTGGCGAGGTAGGCGAGGCAGCGGTCGACCTCTCGCCAGTGCTGGTCGCTCCTCATCGTGAGGCCGCTCCCCATCTTGCTGCAGGCAAAGGCAATGTCCGGCCTCCTCGTCGTCTCCGCGAACTGCAGCGAGCCGACCTTCTGCCAGTACTCTTCCTCCTGTCGTTCCTCCGCCTCCTCGTCGTTGAAAGTGAGCTCGGCGTAGGCGCCGACCGAGACCGGCGTCTTCGGGGTGCGCCCGGTCTGCTCCTCGTCGATGAAGCGCCTACGCAGCTTGTCGGCGTAGCCCTGCTAGTGCAGCCAAAGCTTCCCCGCCGACCAGCACATTGTTGAGAGCCTCGTCGACCTGGCTCTTCTTCCACCCGGCACCGACCAGCACATTGTTGAGCGCCAAGTACCACAACAGCGGCGACTACTTCAGCCCGTACAGGCTCTTCAGCAGCTTGCACACCCGGCCGGTTCCGCCGTTGAAGTAGTCCGGCTGGGACATGTACAGCACCCGATCCAGCTTGCTCTGCAGGAAGGCGTTCTTCAAGTCGAGCTGCATCGGGTTAAGGTCGAGGACAGCGACGATGCTGAGGAAGATCCTCAGCGTGACGTAGCTGCCCACCGGCGCGAACGTCTCGTCGTAGTCGGCGCCGTACACCTGTGTGAAGCCCTTTACGACCATCCTCGCCTTCTCACGCTAGACGGTGTCGTCGACGTGGTACTTCGTCGTCAACACCCACCGGTTCTTCATGACGTTCACCCCCGGCGGGCGTTCGACCAGCTCCCAAGTGCCCATGTTGATGAGGCTGCAAAACTCCTCCTCCATGGCGGCCTTCACCGCCGGGCCCTTCCAGCTTGCCAATGCCTCTTTCACCGTCATCGTCGAGATGTCCCAACAGTGCTCGGGGTCGGCTAGCATGTCGGGGTCGGGCTCCGGAAACTCCTCATCCTCCTCGGCGTCGTCGTACAGCAGGTCGTCGTCGTCCACGTCGTACACAGTGGTGAACGCTGCGGGGACGAAGAAGTCAGGCGGCCTCCGAAGTCGGCCTGAACGTCGTGTTCCTAGTTGGACCTCCTCGGCGTCCCCTCCATCGTCGCCGTCGTTGCCCTTGGCGTTTTGCTGCACTGCATCCGGCGTCCCTGCCGACGTCTCCCCTGTGGTCCGCGTCCCAGCCGACTTCTCCCTTGTGATCGGCTCCCCTGCCGACTGCCCGGTCGCCGACTGCTACATAATCGACTTCACAGCTGCCTGCTCCCCGACCTGCTTCTCGACCTGCTCCTCCCCTGTCTACGTTGACTGCAAACCCACGTCGACGTGCTGCTCATCACGTCGGCCACTGGCGATGCACTTGGCTGAAGGCGACGTCCCACTAATCCTCTCATCGCCGGAGGCCGACACCGAGGCCAGCCCACGCAGGTCGGCCACGAGGGGAGGGGCAGGGGTCGGAGGGGGAGGGGTAGGGGGGCAGACGTCCTCGACGTGCTCAGTAGCAAGCTTACTGACCTCGGCAAGCAACGGCAGCGTCGCCGACGAGATGTCAGAGGGTAGGGTGGACGACGAGCGGCCGGACACCGGCCCATGCTCCGTCTTCCACTCGGCCGGCGACATCTCCTCGTAGAACACCACGTCCGACATGGTGACCACTCGGTCGGTGTTGACGTCGAGGAGCTCCCAGCCCTTCCTCGCCGCCGACACGCCAAGGTGCAGGACCCACCTGGCCTTCGGCTTCAGCTTCCCACCACGCTGCTGCTTCGGGACAAGGAACTGCGCCATGCAGCCCCACACCCGCGCCAGCGACAAGTCGGGCTTCTTCCCGGTCAGCAGCTGGTACGGCGTCGTCCCCGGCGGCAGCGCTGACCTCTCAAGGCAGTTGCGGACTTAGACGGCCTGCCGGAGAGTGAGGTGCCACCAGTGGTGCTGCACGTCCATGTGCAGCAGCATTGTTTGCACCGACTCCACCACCGTCCTCATCTCCCGCTCCGCCATGCCGTTCTGCCGCGGGGTATATGGGCAGGTCAGGTCGTGGACGATCCCCTTGCCGTTCACGAAGTCGGTGAACTGCTTCCCGAGGAACTCCCCTCCCCGGTCATAGCACAGCATCAACACCGACTTCTTCGTCTACCGCTCAGCCACCACTAGCCACTGCACAAACATTTGCAACGCATCTGACTTCTTGGCGACCGACTTCACCCACACGTAGCGGGTCTTGCGGTCCTTCAGCAGCAAGAAGTACAGGCTGCATCCTTGGCAGCCACGCGGAACGGCCCGCACAGGTCGATGTGTACGACGGCCAGCACGTCGTCGGCGTCGGAGCCTTGGTCGGGGAAGGTGTGCCGCGCCAGTTTCCCGCCGACGCACAAGACACACGGGGAGTCGGCGTCTGTCGCCAACTTGAGGTCCAGCCCAATGGCGACCTCGTTCTTCGCCGAGCTCCGTATGGTGTCCATGCCGATATGTGCAAGCCGTGCATGCATCCGGTCCGGCGTCGACTTCGTCTTCGAGACGATCGCCCGCAGAGCCACAACCTCCGTCGTGGACGACGTCGACCTCGTTGAGCAGGGACGCAGGTCGGTGCAGAGGACATGCCCGGAGTACGTCGCCCGACCGAGCACCACTCCGGCTGCAGAGACGAGCATCATTCCCTCTCCGTCCTCCTGCAGCTTCACGCCGTGCTCCTTCAGCTGGCCGGACGACAGCAGGTTGGCCCGTACACCTGGGACATACAGTACGTCGGGGATGAGTACCTGCTTCCCAGCCTCCCCTTGTAGGGCGACGGTGCCACGGCCCTGGACGTCCTGCAGCGCCCCATTGAAGCCGCGCAAATGCCTGATGGTGCCGCTCGGCTGCAGGTCGGCGAAGGCTTCCTTCGTCCCCATCACGTGGTGGGAGCAACCGTTGTCTAGCAAGACCACCGCCGGGTTCGCCTGCACAGTTGCCGCCACCGCCTGGAAGTCCTCTCCGGCCTCCGGCGCCAGCGAGACGGTCGGCTTCACGACGCCGACCAGCGAGCACGACGCCGTCTTGTCATCCCGCGCCTTTGCCGCCAGCAGGGTAGTCGGCGTCCTTCGCCGAAGTCGACGTCTTGGTCGACTGCTTCTCCTTGCGCGGCCGGTTTCCTCCTCGACGAGGACGACGACTGCTCGACCTCCCGCGGCCGCCCTTGTCGTCGTCGTCGGAGTCACTGCGGTCGGGACACTCGAAGGAGAGGTGATTGGGGCTGTGGCAGATCCAGCACTCCCGACGTCGACCTCCTCCTCCTCGAGCGCTGTCCTTGGTCGACTTCTTCTCGACCTCCTTGGTCAACTTCCAGCCACTGCTCCCGCCGCCACCAGACTGTCCGCGCTGTCCTGGTCGGCCTCCTTGCTTCGCCGGGGCGACGAAGTTGGCCTGCGCCAAGAGTTCCTGTGACCGCTCAGCCTCCTGCATCGCCTCGTCCTGCAGGATGTACGAGATCAGGTTGTCCTCGTTGAGCGTCGCTGTGAGGATCTAGGATCGAGCCCAAAAAAGAGAGTTTGAATTGAATGATCACCTGGGCACAACATGAGGCTATATATAGGCTCGACACAAGGCAGGTAACCCAGGTGTTACGCGAATGTTCTGAGGGTCGCGAAGCGTCCCGAACAGAACCTTCCCGAACTCGGTAGAAAGCAATTCGGTGGCGACCGAATAGCTTGAGTTCGGTGCACGTAACCTGGTTCGGTGCCTATACCTATAATAACTATAG